GCGCCGCATGGTAAGCCCGAGTGTAGCTCAGGGTTACCGCTTTTGGTATAGAAATTTTACCCCGAGCTACACTTGGGATTACCGCTAAGAAGGTTAAACATGTCTAGTAAAAAAATTAAAAAATCTAATTTCATCATAAATTTAGGCTAAAATGTATTCTGCGACATGTCTTTGCTAAACAAAATCCCAATACGTGTAAATTAATTGGTTTATGTGAAAGTTATAGCTTTTATAAATGGTGGAATATACACTGGAATTATTTTTTTTTTGTTTACTAGTAATGGCGGCGATCAGTGACTTATAGCGGGACTGAGGTGGGCATTCTGACACTGATATCCCCAGTGACACCAATACAGTGATCAGTGCTAATAAAAAGTACTGACACTGTACTAATGGCACTGGGCAGGAAGGGGTTAACATGTGGGGTGATCAAAGGGTTAAGTGTGTGCTGTTTCACTGTGTGCTGTGTGTTTGCTTTACACGGTAACCACACTGCTTTGTATGACTCTGCTATGCAAAGCCATACAAAGCAGTGTGCAGGAGCTGACAGGGGAGAGACCAGTGCTGTTTATACATAGGTCTCTCCCCCATTGGAGATATTCGGCTATCACTGGGTGCTAGCGAGAAATCACCCTCCGGGACCCGGAACTGTATATTCACACACGTGTGTGTGTGTGTGTGTGTGTGTGTGTGTGTGTGTGTGTGTATATGTATGTATATATAATGGTTTTGTGCACCCGTATTTCTGCTATAGGGTGGCTCGGAATCGGTTAAACAAATGTAAAGTCCAAGAAAACCATCTCCCACACAGGGGGTTTTCATCAACAAAACAGCTGTAGCACCCACTTAGTATAGGTGCTAGGTCATACATAGTTAGATTAGTGTACTTTGCTCTTCTGCCTAACAGGGGAGCTAATAGGTAAATTTATCCTTAGCATTCTGCTTAACGTAGTGCTGCAATCTATTACTCAGGACTGCTCATGATGCTCTGGTGCTGTTTAAGTTTGCCTGGAACTCCTCCTGTCTTCTGGAAACCAAAAAGAGCTTTTCAGAGCATAGGTGGGAACTGGGCAAATGAACAGCATGAATACAGCTCTGGCCAATTACAGGGGAGGACGGTCCCACTGCATTCTGGGAACTGGTGTATATATAGTCTGGGAGCACATGGGCTCAGGGTGGATTGCACCAAATCAGAGTGGAGGCAGGCTTGCCTCCCCTGGCACCTGATGCCAAAAGGCCTGAGGTGGGCGACCTGAGGGCCTGAAACTGGAACTGATGAGTTTCCCTGCTTCTCTTAAAAGCTGGCAGAGGGGGAGTCCACTGAGGATCCATCTGGTATCACTGAGAGAGGCTGCCAGTTGCACTACAAAAGCCTGTGAGTACAGACATTGTGGGATCTCAGGGACCTGGTGCTGTTCTCCAGAAGTTAATTACCTCTGTCTCCTATCAGGAGCACACGCCTGTCTCTAAATGGGAGCCCTGCACTATGGTCAGGTCTTTGCTTATAACAAATGTGGACACCTGCACCCTCAAACAGCCTGCAGGTCTCCAGTAAGACCTGGACACAGGATTGAAGGCTACATCCCACACATGACTCTTTGAAGCTTTTGGATGCTGGACCTCAAACTTGGATTATAAAACCTGGAGAAATCCAAATACCCAGTTTTCTCCACTCAGTCAAAATACTTTGGAGCCCCACACTCTGTATTAGTGCGAAAACTGTATTTCTTTTCTCTATACTCCACAGGGGCAGGGCCTAGCACTATCACAAAAAAAAGAAGTGTACATAAATATATCACAGTATGAATGAATAGTTGGAATCATTTGGATGCAAATATGCAACATGTATATCTTGTAGTGTTTGGACCAGGGGAGGTTATCCTGACTTTACAGTGAGAGTTACACCATTCGTTCACATTTTATGAAATTTGAGAGGGCAGTTTATTTTTTTCCCCTATTACATAACTTTTTTTTTATATTGGACGATTGTATTGATTAACAATATTCACTGAGCTCCTTAAGAGAGGCTTGGTTCATCCATTTATTAGCTGTATATATCATGGACCATAAATAGTAACACCCTACTGATATTTTCATACTATAAAGGAAGAAGGAGCAGAACTATGGATCATGGGGCCCCACAGCAAACTTTGATGGGGTCCCCTAGTAATTTTTCCTATAACAAGAGCTGTAGTAACACCATTACTCTATATCCCAAGTACAAACTTCTATAGACTCTGACTTTTTTTGCAGAGCTACAAACCTAAACTGTCTTAAACGGTTTTAGCTAAGGAGACACTGGAATTTTTGTCTGCATTGGGCATACAGTGTTGGGTTCAGAGTGGCTTGACTATAGCAGAAGACATCTACACTGTGAAAAACACCTTACTACATAAAGGGAGATTTGTGTGTAGTGACAATCCTTATGACTCCTCCTGTGCTTCTGACTTCAGCTCTTGTAGACTCAAGACTTTACAGTTTAAAGTGATATTAAAGGCTCATTTTTTTGTGTGAAAATAACAAATGTGTTATACTTACCTGCTCTGTGCAATGGTTTAGTAGGCCTGATTGTCCCTCTTCTGGGGTCCCCCAATGGCACGCTAGGCTTCTCCCACTTGCTGAGTGCCCCCATAGCAGGCAACTTGCTCTGGGGGTATGCTTTTGTGCTCGCTCCCGAGACGCGAGCATTGGTGACAGGTGCGCGCCTGGATGCGCAAGTGCATATGACCGTGCGCATTCGTGCGCGCTTTTGCCAAATCTATGCACATCTGTGTGGCCTATTATTGTTCTGCGCATGTGCATATTTATGTGCGGCGAACCCTCACTTGCACTATGGTCAAGCCTTTCCTGACAGTAGTTGAATAAAGCTGAAAATTAGGTATGGCCATTTTCACATAGTTACAATGGTCCAGGTTGGAGAAATGTACGTATGTATGTGACATACCTGTGGGAGTCCAGTGGAAGCTGAAAATCACTGTAGTAGACACTGCTACTACAGTGACCTCAACAGGTTTTGGGGACCAGTGCTGATTGGCTGCCCTGCTGCTTACTGAACACAGGAGGTTGCTCACTTGGTGCAGGCACCTATCAGACATTTTGCACTTTCTCAATGAATGCAACCTGTTTTCTTTTTGGACAAAACGATGATCATGATGTTACCACCTTGTCTCTCCACCTCATCCAGTCAGAGAATGCTTTGTATTCCTTGAGAGAATGCAAAACGTTCCCTGAATAGCACAACCTCCAGTTTTCATAATGCAGCAGGGCAGCCACTTGGAACGAAACCCAGAAACTAGTGGAGATCACTGTAATAGTGACCCCTAGAAAAGTAATTTCCAACTTCCACAGGAATCACACAGGTATGGCACATACATACTTACATTGACCTAAGTTGGACCAATGTAACTATGTAAAAATTGCCATTTCAAAACTTCAGCTTTAACGTGGTAGTAAACTTTCCTGTTACCTTTTTTTTAATTGGTCCCTACAGGTTTATGCTATAATGTGCAAGCATGCATTGCAACCCTCCACAGCTGAGCTGTTACCACTCTTGGAGCTTACATATTCAGAAAAAATGAGGAAGGGTTGTAACAGCGCAAACACTGCAAAGTCCTGGGAAATGGTAGCTTGGGGTAATCGTGGTATTAGTGGCTACTGTATGAAGAGCGTAGGATTCCGTGTGGCACTGAGGGCAAGGCTTCCAAATAAGCTGTAGCAACCTCTGTAGATGAGAACAAGGAGAGAAGCGCCTCTAAGTGCAATAAGTCTTTTTATTCAAGTCTAAATGTAGAAACACTCACATGTGTGAAGTAATCATAAGCTTAAAAACCGTGGTTAACAATAGTTAGCGGTGGGGTGGTAACCAGGGTGAAGAGCCGTCATCTCTCTGCGATGTGGGGAGGTCAGCTCTCGGCTGGAACAGCGTGGTGGCTGGAGGGGAACAGCAGTGAGGCCGGCCGGCATGCACGTCCTCCCTCAGAGCCGGATGGAATGCACGCTGGAACGTAGCGACGGTGTGGCTGTGATGACGTCAGATCCCAGGGTGCACTGCGAAGCGTTTCGGAGCATGCACTGGCCATGGAAGGCGGAAGTGCACTCCTTTTTCAAGCCACGGTTTTTAAACTTATGATTACTTCACACATGTGAGTGTTTCTACATTTAGACTTGAATAAAAAGACTTATTGCACTTAGAGGCGCTTCTTACATATTCACCAAGTCTTCCTTCCAGGTTTGCACTCTTCAGCTGTTCAAATGGCCTGGCCTGCATACACAAAAGGGAGTCACAATCATGGTACGGCGCTCTCTGGATTCAGACACTCAGTGTGCCCTAAATGCAAAGCTACTGCGCATGCGTGGTGATGTCATCGGCTACAGCCAATGTGAACATTTTCTACACGACGCAAATTTAGAAGATATTCACAGTACCGATAGGTAAACCTTATTATACATTTACCTGTAGGTAGAAATATATGATATATATATATATATATATATATATATATAATGAGAGTTGTAGATACGTTTTAGATAATAAGAGATGTATGGCAAGACTTTACTGCTGCTTTAAGTTTAAGCTTGCATACAATGTTTGGGGCTGAGGATTAATAAAAATTGCAGTGACAATGCTCCCTTGTATAAACAATCTTATAAATTTTAATATAAAAAAACAAAGCAAGCAGGGTTGGGAAAAGGGGTTGACAGAAGGGGCAGCTGCCCTGGGTGCAGAGAAGCAAGGGGGCAAAGAATAGACACAGGGTGGTACACCCATTCTACGGCATGTACTAACCGTGGGAGAGGGGGCACAATTCTGGATCCTTTCCCTGGGCACTGAGTGACCCTGTCCTGGTACTGACAGTAAGGTTATTAGTAGAGATGAGCGAATTATTCAAAAATTCGATTTGACTGATTCGGCGAATTCGTGAAAAAAATTTCGATTCGAGTCGAATATATTCGCTGCGAATTTAACTTATAAAAGGGTGTTTCTAGGCTTCAGAGAGCCTTTATATTAGTGCAGAACACTGTACCTTTAATTTAAATGCCCTTGGAGTCTGCTGGGGAAGAGAAATAATACTGTCAGTCAGTATGACATGCAGATGAGTGCCGTCGATCTTAGAATCACCGCACACTTCACTCATTTGGGCAGTCACGGGGCCAAAACCAGAGTGTGGAGCCACAGTGTGGCGGTGGAGGCAGCAGCAATGGGAGGCCATACAGCACCCTATGACAAAAATGGAACCCACCAGCAGTGTGAGGAGACCTGAAAGTGGCACATGGCAGAGTGTGGCGATGGAGACAGCAGCAATGGGAGGCCGTACAGGGACCCATGACACACTCTGGACCTGGCAGCAGCATGAGGAGGTGGTGGTACAGGGGCCCATGACAGATTACGGGCCTGGCAGCAGCATGAGGAGTTGGTACGGGGGCCCATGGCAGATTACGGGCCTGGCAGCAGCAATGGGAGGCCGTACAGGGACCCATGACACACTCTGGACCTGGCAGCAGCATGAGGAGGCGGTACAGGGGCCCATGACAGATTACGGGCCTGGCAGCAGCATGAGGAGTCGGTACGGGGGCCCATGACACACTCTGGACCTGGCAGCAGCATGAGGAGGTGGTACAGGGGCGCATGACAGATTACGAGCCTGGCAGCAGCAACTTGGACAGGAGGACGCTCAGCTTCTGCACCGTCGGGTGCGTGCTCGCAAACTGTTGTCTCTTGGAAACGGATTCCAAGAAAGACTGCTGACGGAATCCGTGAAGAGGAGTAGCAGGAGAAGGAGCATCTGAACGAGCGGAATATGCCAACAAGCGACAACAGGGGCCCATGACAGATTACGGGCCTGGCAGCAGCATGAGGAGTCGGTACGAGGGCCCATGGCAGATTACGGGCCTGGCAGCAGCAATGGGAGGCCCGTAATCTGCCAGCACCCTATGACAAAAAATGGAACACACCAGCATTGTGAGGAGACCTGAAAGTGGCACATGGCAGAGTGTGGCGATGGAGACAGCAGCAATGGGAGGCGGTACAGGGACCCATGAGACACTGTGGACCTGGCAGCAGCATGAGGACGCGGTACAGGGGCCCATGGCAGATTAAGGCCTGGCAGCAGCAATGGGAGGCCCGTAATCTGCCAGCACCCTATGACAAAATGGAACCCTGGGCTGGGGCAGGCAGAACCGCCGTATCTTTATCACGGTTTTCCCAGGCCACCGAATGGCGACGCTGCATATGCTGACGCAACGCTGTAGTCCCAACATGGGCCCCCTGGCCACGCTTGACTTTCTGGCCACATAGTCGACATACGGCTACGTTTACTTCCTCGGGCGGCTTGACGAAAAATTGCCACACCGCCGAGTAGGAAACTTTGCCCCCGCTACCCCTCACTGGCTGACGCTACTTCCTCCGTGCACACCGGCACCACTACTGGCCGTGGTGGTAGGCTGCAGTGGAGCTGGTGCTCTACTCCGTGGCCGTTTGCCTCCACTGACACTGCTGCGACCCTGCTGCCTCCTGGCAGCAGCAATGGGAGGCCGTACAGGGACCCATGAGAGACTTTGGACCTGGCAGCAGCATGAGGAGGCGGTACAGGGGCCCATGGCAGATTAGGGGCCTGGCAGCAGCTATGGGAGGCCCGTAATCTGCCAGCACCCTATGACAAAAAATGGAACACACCAGCAGTGTGAGGAGACCTGAAAATGGCACATGGCAGAGTGTGGCGATGGAGACAGCAGCAATGGGAGCCGTACAGGGACCCATGAGACACTGTGGACCTGGCAGCAGCATGAGGAGGCGGTACAGGGGCCCATGGCAGATTAGGGGCCTGGCAGCAGCAATGGGAGGCCCATAATCTGCCAGCACCCTATGACAAAAAATGGAACACACCAGCAGTGTGTGAGGAGACCTGAAAGTGGCACATGGCAGAGTGTGGCGATGGAGACAGCAGCAATGGGAGCCCCGTAATCTGCCAGCACCCTATGACAAAAAATGGAACACACCAGCAGTGTGAGGAGACCTGAAAGTGGCACATGTTTGGGGCATGATTCATGGCGGATTTAGTCAGTTGTGTCAGGAACTGGTGGTTTGAAATCCAGACTAATCCACGCCTGATTCATTTTCACAAACGTGAGTCTCTCCACACTTTGGGTGGACAGTCGTGTCCTCCGCGGAGTTACAATACCTCCTGCCGCACTAAACACGCGCTCCGATGCCACGCTACTGGCCGGGCATGACAGCCTTTCAAGGGCAAATTCAGCTAGTTGGGGCCAAAGGTCAAGTTTGGTTGCCCAGTAGTCAAGGGGATTGTCTACCTCGGTTGGCAGGGTGCTGTCCAAGTAGGCCCAAGCCTGTTGTTTGAGGTCCTGCTCCAGGTCCACCTGATGCTGCTGCTGCTGCGGCTGCTGGTTAGTAGTTTCCTCACTGCGCTGGTGAAGAAAGCTACTCATCATCGACTGCAGACTGAGGCAGCCGCTGCTGGTGGAGCTGCCACTGCTCCTACCACCCCACCCCTCCCCTGCTGCCATGGCAGCGGAACGCGAGCGCACTGGGCCCACAGTGTCTGAGGATGGACGTTGGCGCACAAAGGCAGAGACCAACTGACTACATAGGTGGTTTTTATAGTACGTTATTTTGGCCTCCCTCTCAGCAGGTGTGAAAAAGGCCACCATTTTTGAACGGTAGCAAGGGTCCAACAAGGTGGACAGCCAAAAGTCATCCCTCTGTCTGATGGTTATTATTCGGCTGTCGCTACGCAAGCAACCGAGCATGCTATGGGCCATTTGTGCCAAGGAATGCGAGGGACTCCCTGCCTCCATCTCCACAGCATACTGCCACGGTGCGTCTGGGTCTTCTGTCTCCTCCTCCTCCTCCTCTACCAGATGCTCCTGCTCCTCCACTCCTGTCCGCTGAGTGGAAAAACCACCCATTTCACTCAATAATTCCTGAGCACAAATGTCCTCCTCTACCTCCTCCTCTTCTTCCTGTCCTGCCCCCACAGGGGTCATGTGGCGTTGAGATCTGTGCGCCACGTCTACCGCACCCTGACCAGCCATTGTTAACAGCATTTGTTCCAGGACGTGCAACAGAGGAATGACGTCGTTCATCCCATAGTCCTGCCGACTCACGAATAGCGTGGCCTCCTCAAAGGGCCTGAGCAAGCGGCAGGTGTCACGCATGAGCTGCCAATGGCTGACATCGAAGTTACACAGGGGAGTACCTTTATCCGCTTGTAACATCAGGAAATCGGTGATGGCCTTTCGCTGTTCGTAAAGGCGGTCTAACATGTGTAGGGTTGAATTCCACCTTGTTGCAACGTCGCAGATCAGGCGATGCTGTGGAATTCCATTCTGCCGCTGCAGCTCAAGGAGGGTGTGCTTTGCGGTGTAGGAATGGCTGAAATGCATGCAAAGTTTACGTGACATTTTAAGGATGTCTTGCAGTGGGATGGTGGATTTTAGGAACCGCTTGACAACCAGATTGAACACGTGAGCCATGCATGGCGCATGGCACAACCTTCCTTGACGCAGAGCAGACACCATGTTCTTTCCGTTGTCGGTCAACATGGTTCCGATTTTCAGTTTGCGCGGAGACAGCCATCTGTCGATTTCTCTGTTCATTACACTCAGAAGTTCCTCCCCTGTGTGACTACGTTCGCCAAGGCATACCAGGTGCAGCACAGCGTGACACCGTTGCGCCCTGCACATGTGATATACCGGTCGGGTAATGGGACTTGGCACGGGGGTGGCGGCTGAGGACACGAAGGAAGAAGAGGTGGTAGAGGCGGACATCTTTTGTGGACCAAGGACGTGCAAACGTGGAGGCAAAAGCGGCGTGACCTGTCCAAGTTGCTGGTGCGGCTGTGACGGCACCACGTTCACCCAGTGGGCTGTAAATGACATGTACTGTCCCTGACCGTAGTTACAGCTCCACACGTCGGCGCTGCCGTGCACTTTGGCAGAGACCGACATGCTCAAAGACTGGCCCACCATCTCTTCTACATGTGAATGCAGGGCTGGCACTGCCTTTTTGGCGAAGAAATGACGGCTTGGCACTCTCCACCGCGGCGCGGCACAAGCCATCATTTCTCGGAAAGGTGCTGAGTCCACCACTTGGAAAGGGAGGGACTGCAGCACCAGCAACTTGGACAGGAGGACGTTCAGCTTTTGCACCGTCGGGTGCGTGCTCGCAAACTGTTGTCTCTTGGAAACGGATTCCATGAAAGACTGCTGACGGAATCCGTGAAGAGGAGTAGCAGGAGAAGGAGCATCTGAACGAGCGGAAGATGCCAACGAGCGACAACTCCCCTCAGCAGAGGTGTTGGAGCCTTGACTGGCTGATAGAGGGCGATTGACGTCGGGTGACGGAGCAAGTAACGGAGCGGGGTGATGGGGCTGGGGCAGGCAGAACCGCCGTATCTTTATCACGGTTTTCCCAGGCCACCAAATGGCGACGCTGCATATGCTGCCGCAACGCTGTAGTCCCAACATGGGCCCCCTGGCCACGCTTGACTTTCTGGCCACATAGTCGACATACGGCTACGTTTACTTCCTCGGGCGGCTTGACGAAAAATTGCCACACCGCCGAGTAGGAAACTTTGCCCCCGATACTCCTCACTGGCTGACTGCTACTTCCTCCGTGCACACCGGCACCACTACTGGCCATGGTGGTAGGCTGCAGTGGAGCTGGTGCTCTACTCCGTGGCCGTTTGCCTCCACTGACACTGCTGCGACCCTGCTGCGACCCTGCTGCCTCCTGGGCAACCCACCGACTGTTTTGCTCGCTGCCAAGCTGCCACCCTCTTCTCCTGATGATGCGGAAGCAATAGCCTGATGACGACGAGGCTGCCAAGTGCGATCAGCCTCATCATCATCCATTAGGGTCTCCGCCTCACTACTAGCCCCCTCGGCTGCGTGTGGGTCAGGAGACAGACCTGTCTCTAGACCGGCTACCGAGCCACACTCTCCTCACCACTACTTCTTCGCCTGGCTGCTGAAGAGGCGGATGTCTCCCCCCGTTCCTGACCGCCCTCTGTTAGCTCTTCCTCACTGTACAGTGGGGCTGAACCCACAGCATGCGATACTTCGCTTGGTGAGGGAACACCAAAGGACAGGGGCAGGTCGAGGACACGTGATTTCAGTGGGCTTGCTCCCGGGCCATGCCAACTAATGGTTGTGTCTGACGTACCCACCGACCGTTGGCTGTAGGTGTCAGAGGTGACCTGGGAAGAGGAAGACGACCGAGCCAACCAATCGATGACGGCAGGGTTGTCGGTGGAGACACGACCGCTGGATGACACCGGGAGCAATGGCCTCTGGCTGCGACTAGTGCTGCCTCGACCCCTTCCTCTGCTGCCACGTCTGCTCGCTCCTAAAACATTGCCTCCTCTGCCACTCCTCTGCATGTTGTCTGACATACTCTTTAATTCAACGATTATGTGTCCCTGAGTAACAATTCTGTGTCCCTGAGTAACAATTCTGTGTCCCTGAGTAACAATTCTGTGTCCCTGAGTAACAATTCTGTGTCCCTCAGTAA